ATCATGCATTAAGATGGATCGTCGAATGACAGCAGAAACCAAAAGCAACATCGATCTCTTTATGAATAACCTTGCCTGTTTCAAATGGTTGGGGGGGCTCAGGGGACAGTTTGAAGGTATGTATGTGTATGTGTGCGTCAGTGGCCTTGAGTGTGCTCGTATACAAGAGACGTGATCTTGACCAAAAAGTGGAAAAAAACTAACGGAAAGTGGAGCTGCAGATGACTTAAAGCCCGACTACAGTGCACCTACCCTGTGCTTCAACAGTAGTGCCCCATAAAACATATCTTGAAACATATTGTGTAATACAAGGTATCTAACAAATCAAAATCTGACATTTTGGGAAATCTTAGATGCTAGGGTTACCAGATTCTGACTCCTAAAAAAGACAACACAACTATGCAGGAGCGGAGTCACAGAGTCACAGAGTCACACAAAGTTAATTTTGGGAGTCTTTTGGGTTGAATCGAGTGTCTTTTACGAGATTCTAACTCAGTAAGTCCATGTGACACAAAATTGAAACTTCCGTACAAAACCGCAGACATTTGAAGGATTTCATAAACTTCCCCATACAAAGCTGGACAAAACCAGATAGCCTGGACAGCGCCCCCAAAAGGGGACATGCCCTATTGGATGCTGAATCTTCTGCTCCATAGACAAAAAAAGGACATTTGCATTTATCCAACATTCATGGTGGTATGAGGATGCTTAAGTGCCCATGCTATAGCAAATATACATGTCTGCAATGGCACAATTGATGCCAGACAACAAAGTTTTTGAGCAAGTCATGCTGCCATCCAGATGATGCCTTTTTCATAGAGGACCTTGGATAATACAGCAAGATGCCAAACTTCATTTCGCTAAAGTGGCCTGTCTGCAGTCTTGATTTTTAAGCTTTTAAAAACATGCAGTTAAAGCCCAATATCAGGCAAGAATGGGACAACATTTTTCATTCAAAACTCAAGACACAGATTTTCTCTCCACATTGCTGCATTAGGTCTTAAATGAGCAGAAACAAATCTGTATTCACAGGTTGTCTTGCAAATCAACAAAACCTGTTTTCATGCACACTTTACAAAATGTTCCAACTTTTATCCACTCTTTCCCTAACCCCAGCCATTTAAGGTTCACGCCTAAAGCTAACCCCTCATTTAGTGGATTAAACACCTAACACTTACACTCAAACCCTTGTGTTTAGATGCAAAGTTTCTTTGGTTTATGCTGCCCCAAACTCCCAAATATCTTGCAACTTCATGCAAAGAAGTTGGCAACGTGAAGACCAAGATGTTGTTGGGCATCAATATGTCTAAAGCAGGAAACTGCTGTTATGGCAGCTGGAAACATGCCAGCTCATAGGCTTGTGAAATGCAAAGACATGGCCAATGAGTGAGGAGTGTCTGTGCCAACAAAGGTCTGCCCCCTTCCTGCTCTCTGAAACAAGCTAAGTGTTTGGCAGGCACCGTGCATTCCAGATAGCGTGGCAAAAGAAGATGCAGGGCACTGGGTTTTGGTTTTTTTTCTCTGCTGCAGAACCACTGCTGGTAAATCAAAGAAAATGCCCTCCAGTCCACTCAGAAGAAGTCGATTCTCTGGATATCAGAGTGAGCAGAGTTGTGAGTTCAATCTGGGCAACAAGGTCAAATCTGTAAGGGAGAAGATGTACTCGTGCTTAAACACTCAGTTGCTGTTTGTGCTTTATTTAATGGAATAAACAGAATACAGTGTAACAGTATGATCCGCCTTTAAACTGACAGTAATTGGCGGGGTTGGAGGGTCAGTTCTCGCAGGCCAAACCACCACACCAGATTTCACTCCAACTAACAGCTTATCAGACACTTTCACTCTCTTATTTCGACAATATCCACCCTCGCTTTCCTTTCACCAAGTCAAAAATCATCATTCTTCTGTGATTGGATAGCTCCACATATCCAACCCACCAATTCCATTCATAACAGCCTATCGTAAATGTAATTACGGGAGAACAATATGAAGAAATTGATTGTCTGCTGCACTGTGCACAATGTTTTGGCTCCTTGTTTGCAGGCCTGGTGATGGGATCCTGGGAGTATTGAGTGGAGCCAATTCCCCTGTGTTGCCTGAGTGGATCAAGGGGTAAGCTCTTAATTACTCAGAGGGACAGTTCAGTGGCATTATGAGCTGTGTAAACACACACACAAACACACACACTCACTCAGACACACAAACCCTTGGATAGAAGAGCTAAGAGGATGACGATCCAACCAACACACTTACTCTTAAGCACTGTATTTAAACACAACATTATAGATACTATAGTACGTATTGAATTTGAAATGAACCATCAGAGAATTGCAGAAGTTTTATGTACAATCTATGCAAAGTGTTAACATAAAACACATGAGATTGTCTTTGAATTGAGTTACATAAGGAAGGAGATAAAATAGATCAAAAGTAAGGTGACACATCTTTGTCTGACGATCCAAGTGCATTAAAAGTGAGATCAGTACTTCCAGAGATGAATAAAACAAAGAGAACAGGGTGTACAAACACTGTTTCCATAATCTGACAGCATTATTTATCTCCTTGTTGAAAGTAAGCGCACTCGTCCCACTCGAGAGATGTTTTGAAAAAAGTCTGTTATTGCAAAACTGAAATCCGGCTGAATGGACAAAAATATGGACGAGCTGAAAACTGTCTGTGATTTTTGGTGAATAAGCATCTGTTTCTTACTGCATGGCATTGGATCTAGATTGTCGTGATACTTATAGGATTACTTGTGACTTGCCAACAGGGCAGACATGAACACAGCATCCCAACCAAGGTCACTAAATATGAACCCAGATCCCCAGGGGAGTTTCAAACTGGTCCTCTCCAGCTTCTTCTTCTTCTTCGGGTTCATTTCCCAGCAGTACAAGAGGCCATGTCGATGGCCTTCACTCACCAGTGCCCTCAGAAATCTGCCACCACTGTGCTGCATGGAACAGCGACAGTAAAATCAATAACATGTTCTTAACCCTCGAGAGAGGCGGCGGCTGTGCTACATGTTTACTGCACTGCAATGACAACAAAATCAATCATTTGTTGTTTGAGCAGCTCGGTCGCTATGGGTTATTTTCTCCTTAGTTACAGGGTTATATCTTATTTAAAAATAGCTTTGAGTGACATAAAATACACAGAAGTATCCTTCAATTCATGGAAACGCGAGTAACACTCTCATTCTGTTTCCGGATGTTATGATCAAAGTAATTTTGTTTGTGTTGGCATATTTTTTCGCCTGCTGATTCATCATATTTAGTCACTAATTTCTTCACTACTGATGCTAAAGAATGAGGAATTTCTTAAAAGGTCACGTTGATATTGACCTTAAAGCATTTCTGATCACTCTAAACACCGAGCAACTCATCGGGGAAGTTATCTAACTTGAGAAAACACTTTCTGAACCTTTTCTGCACAAGTTAAAGTCAATCTAAGTTTTGGTTTTCAAGGCTGAGCCAATGCTTGACTAATCTCATTCACAGACAACAATAAACTGTAGATTCCATTTTAAGGGGTCTTGATTTCACTGAACTGTTTAAGTTTCCATTGCAGTCAGTAGTAGTGCGACTTGTACAGACCAATCACGTTAAAGATGGCAAGAAAACTGTTCATATGCATAGCAACACCACGACGACCATAGGCGTCAGTTTAGGGGGTGTCTCCACACTTTTTGTCAGGGGTCGTTTTGTCTCCACCACATGCAAATCCTTCACGTGTAAGCCCTTGTTACCCCAGTTATTTTCAGTAGTATAGATAATTACGATGCTCCTGAACGCACCATCCGTATTCGTTGGAGAGTTGCTGAGAGACGCATCAGACCTTCGCGAGGATAACAAAAACATGCAGCTGTTGTAAATTTGCATCTGTGCCAAGTTGAACCTGCAACCCAGAGTGTGCTTTTTCTTCTGATAATACCTGTGGTGAGTTACAAAACTAGTTTGCTTGTTTAACCGTATGATTATCCCGTGTCATAAATATTTGCAAGGGGGCGGTAGTTGGTTACATTAAATACCTCCACACATTTTATAGTAGCCACACCAAAAGTAAAATCAATTATAGTCATCATCCCAAAGTCACTTTTGCTAGTAGCCCCCCCCCCCCCCCCCCCCCCCCCCACACACACACACACTTTCAAAACAAACTGACGCCCTTGACAACTACAACCCTGGAAATCATCTGCAGAAATCTTTGAATGTTTTTCATGAATGTCTTAAGAAATGTTTCAATCGAGTTATCTGCTTTTGCTTACTTTAGAAGACTGCAGGTTCTCATTTGCAGTCTGCACATAAAGTTTACTAAACCTGCCGGGTCAAACGAAATCATTTCTTCAAGCTGTTTAACACCAACAATTCAAACCGCGCAAGCCGGTGAGCTTTTTCCACGTCAGTGTCTATTTGCCCACTCCCTCTGTGAATTCTTGCTACTTGCTAAAAGCGTGCCTAAAGGAATTGAAAAGACATCCTAAAGAGGCATAAGGCGCGGGCCTGTTCCACTGTTGGACAGCCCTGAGCTCTTGTGGACTTATCTGAAACAGGCATCAAAGTGCCTGAGCCTGTGAGGGCAGACATTTGGATTAGACCCATCACTCACACGTCTTCATACCTGCGGGCCATGTAAGAGATTCAATCCAACTTTTTTGGACACTTTAGGAGAGTCAGACAGACCAAGGATCCAGCACTTTGGGGAAAGATATCAATCTTTAAACATGTTCAACTTTTAAGCAAAACAGATGGCAAAATACTTAAGTAATTAGATGCATCGTTAAAACAACAACTTGAGGGAAACAAAGAAGAAGCAGAGGTTTTTCTAATCAACAGGCTGTGCTTCGTTTGTGTGATACTGACTGAAATCCTCTGGAAACTCCCGACTGTTGTCACTCCCAATTCAGCAAACTGGCAACACTTTTTGAGCTCTCTAAGACTTGTCAAACAAAAGAGTCATTTCAGTGTCTGATTTCAGCTCCTTCCTGCCAGAAAAAGTTTTCTTCTTCAGAGGGAAAAGTTATAAAAAGATGCTTGTTTGGTGAGGCCCGGGCACTGAAACTTCTATATTAATTCACAAAAAAGGAGAAGTCTTCTTGTACTGGGAAATCCAGAACATGCTTAGAGGAGGAACTAAAAATACTTGTTTTTTGAAGGATACAGTCTCTAGGCCTCGAGCTGCAGCTTTACTTTAATACGATTTTAGTCCGCTGTTTTCATTCGTTTATTAAATCCATTAAATGACTTGAGACTTGGGAATTGACCCCTGGTTTCCTCAATTGAATTTTAGCCAATCAATTGATTCCAGCTTTATTGCCTTGTGAATTTTCTTTCTGTTTGTGTAACACCTGACTTCATATGAGCTGGACAGCTGGAGCTCAGAGTTTCCAGCGCTGCTACAGATGGATTTACATTCAACATATTGAGAATCTGTTTCCTGCACAGACCCCAAAGGACACCATGAGCATCTGTGTGAGACACAAAGGTGTGACAAAGCATCACAATTTGACTGCTGGGTGGAGCGAACAGTCATACAGTCGTATTGATGTGTCAGTTACCCTCATCATGACTGTGTCCCATTTTAACCCCACACAGATGCAGAACGGTGACATTCCTTCTTCTCAAAGTTTGTCAGCGAGCAATTTGGAGGCGTGTGTATGTGTGTGGGCAAGAAAAAAACCCTCGCTCTGTTCTGAAACATATTTCTTGACGAAGATGCTCGAGATGTGGGGGAAGAAGAGAGGGGAGATTGAAATATAAGGCGCTGACGTGCTGGCGCGGCAGTGATCTGAGGGGTGCCATGGAGACGCCTGTCATGAGGGGGGTGAGTCCTGTGATGTTGACGTGTCCCTGTCTGCACAAGCTGACAATCTGCACAAGTCAAACTCCTCAGAAGAGTGCTCTCTGAGTGTGTGTGTGTTCGTGTGTGTGTGTGTGCAGCCCTGTGAATATGTGTATTCTGATGTGCAGCAGTGTTTGTGTATGATTTTGGCTGCGCGTAGGTGTGCACCGACTCTTTGTAGGTGCATTTGAAAAGATGATTCTGCCAGCAGCGCACCGGCAGGTTCAAAGGCAAATCGACCTAATTAGGCCAAGAAAATTGTATATTTTTTCATTTGGAACCGATGATATGTAGATGCAGAAACAAACTCCGAACACAAAGACAAATTATTCCTGCACTGCTTGACTGACAAGAGAAAAGAAGACTTGTATAATTCTCTGTATTTGACAGTGAATCAATAAGTCACACTTGTTTGCCAAAGGATCAAAATCAATCTCACATCCTTTCTTTACTGATGGTTAGACTTTGTTCTGGACCATTTAAAAAAGTACCCCTGGCACTTGTAGATTTAAAAGAGAGCAGTCACAGCAAGGACTGCTTTAATCTCTCTGTAAAAGGGAACCAAACTCTTTATGAATTGATTTTCAATCCTTATGAAGCCAAACTCAGACCGACGACTTGCCTTGACCTGAATATAGTATATGTTTTCTCACTGAATAGTAATTTTCCAGAACTTCTTGACTTTTACAACCAGCGTTTATTTTCTTAAGTACTACACGTGAGCTTATGGCGCCTCATTACATCATGCCTAATACAAAGTCTGAGCACCTCTGAGTCATTTAAGGTCATAATATTACAACCCCAATCCAGAAAAGTTAAGACTACGACTAGACGGTTAATTGAAACAGAATTTGTGGTTTGTGAGGGATTTAATTCAAACCATGAAAGGACAACACATGGAAAATTGAATAGTAATATATTATTGTCCTATGAAAAAGAAATGCTTAATTTTTATTTAATGGCAGCAACATATCTAACAGTGGCGATTGCTCTAAGACTGCAAGGGAAGCTCGGCTTCCCTTAAAATGTCACCCCTCAAAAAAAAGAAAAAGTGGTGAAATACGTACGGCTGTGTGTACATTTCATTAACTAAATACGCACTAGAAAGCCTTCAACTTTTGTTCAGACACTGTGATAAGAAGCTGATAATCACAGGTAACCGGCATAACTTCATTCTCATTCATCCTCGCAGCGCCTCAGCGCTTTAAACAGTCGGACGCTGGGCTTCTGCTGACTTCAATGTGGAAGCTTAAAGTGGGTTGTTCCAGCAGCGAAACTAGACGCTCATTGGATAAATGCTGGGCTTTGTCCCGCCCATCGGAAGCCCAGCTTCACTGGAGTTCTATGGCGAAAGGGCGGTCCCGACTTTCTCCCGGACTCCAAGCTTCTGCATCCATGATTGGATGAGCTGTCTGAGGCGAAATCCTTTTTTGATTGACAGCTAAACAAGCGAATCAGCGATCTTGAAGAATAAAACATCTACCAGAGCATTTTCCAAGTTATTCATTCCGTTGTTCTTAACTGCTCCGGAGACCTTACCGACCTCAGCGACTTTTGTCTTTGTTAAAAATGACTGCCGTTGTGTTTGGCGACTCTGTTCTGTTACATACTAATAAACAAATACAATTATGATGTAGGCCAGAAAAATGAGCTTCCCCTCATTGAAAGACCAGCAGCCGCCACTGATATCTAAGTGGCATGTTTTCCACTGTGTTGCATCACCTCGTTTTTTAACACACACTGTTAACATTTACGAGATGAGGGGACCGGTTTCTCAAGTGAAGTGTCATCCTTTTCTAGCCTGATTTTGGGGTTTCTGCTGCTCAACAGTTCAGGGTCTTCTCCAGTCCACTTCAGTTGATCTTCATTGGACCCAAGCACAGAGAAGTCACTGTTTCTGGATCATGTGTGCATAAGGTTTCTCGATTTTGTGCCCATGCAGTAAATTCCACTACAGAGTCAAGTCCGTTTTTTAACGCACTTCTGCTTGTGGGCCTGAAGATCACAGCTAAGTGTTTCCTTAGCACAAAGATGTTTCAAGATTCACTCACTCTTTGATATAATGGACTTTAGACGACATGACATTTTTTAGTTTCTCTCATTTTTCAAAATCTGTCTCTCAGTATTTTAAACAGTGCCCTGACTTTTCTGGAAATCAGGTTGCAATACAGTGTCTTATCGTGCCTTACATTTGGACTCTTGCTCTTTCAGTCACGTTTCACTCACCGATTACTGCCCTCTGAACCCTTCATAGGTGGTTTGATGTACTGCTTGCTAACTCCCAGCCAATCTCACCCATATTGCTTAATCAATACGTCCTCAGACGGATGTTCACCTTGACAGATCGCAGGTGACAAAACTCGACTCAAACATTTGCTGGATGTCTATTTAACAGTCCATTTTGTATGGAGAATGAAGCGATGGTGCTGGCCTTGGGGATGTTATCCCTTTTTCAATTACAGGAGAAGTCTCTTAAGGATGAGGTTGAAATAGAGTTCGTGTTAAGAGATAAGCGCCTTCACCTACATGTCTTAACTTACTGCTGGTTACATTCATAAAGGATGGGCTATGGTCAATGTTGTGAACATTTGATATTACAGGCAGCTGAGATCCGATAAATGTATTTTATCAACATAACAGTTAACGTTCAGATTGGGGCGATTTTTCAAAATTTCTAATATTTTTAGAGAAGAAGTCTTTTATTACTTTACTTTGTTTCTCACTGCCAAAGTAACTTATCTTAGCTATTGTCAATATCCGTTGCGAGCATCACTTGAGGTCTGAGGGTTGTTTGCCTTTAGATTTATGTTGGCATGTTGCCTTGAGAGGTGCTCAACACACCACAGGATAATCACACTCGATAAGTACATAGAATAGACTTTCATTTGAGACGTGCAGCCGAGTATCACTCCTATAGACAATAATTTATATAAGCTACTGCTTCCTGACAATCATTCATAAATACTAGAAGTCACAGAATAATTGAAGAGTTTCACGGTCTGCAAAATCTAAAGTTTTGTCATTCCAATTCAAAGTATACTAAAGCCTGTGCTGCACTATTTCAATTCAGATAAAAATATCCCTGATACATTTGTATATTATTTTTATGCCGTGCTTCTTTACTTTTGGGTGATTAAAGAAAAAATCAGCGCCTTTTCCCATGACTTTCCCTGAGAAGTTAACTTATTCATGTCATGTTGGGGCGTTATCGGGACACAAAAGAAGTGAGAAAGTGTGAGAGTCAGCAGGGGGGAGGAAGTGATTGGTGAGAAGATGTGTTATTTCTGCATTCATGACTCATCCCTATTTACCAGTACCTCTTTCCTTTGCGTGAGCGCTATCTCGTGTGACAAGGAGCAAAAACATTTTAAAAAGTTATCACACTGCAACTCCAAACACTCATGCACAGACCCACACTGCAGTATATTAGAGCGCACTGCAGTTTCTTGAAAATAGGACACTAAGTAATGGCATATTTATGAATGTATGACTGCTTTGGTGATTGTAGCACAAGATCGTTTTTGACAGCCGACTTTAATCGGAGGTATCTTGTTTGCGTCAGACATGCTGCCTCACTTCCTTAGGGTAATGATATAACCAGACCAAAAAAGACGGTTGTTTCTAAAAGTGCCCCTCTTGATGTCATCTCATGGATAGCAAAAATAGCCTTTGTATGTGACAGAATCATCATCAAAGTCTTGAGGGAAACCTGCTAAGACTCTCTTTGGGGGTTCGATGAAGCTCCCGCGAAAGGTATTGGACACAGTGAGCCAGCAGACAAAATCTGCCACGAGGAGGTCTAGCTCCCTTTGCCAGCCAGATTCTCCGCTGGAGCATGAGCGATTCTCTAAATAAGCACATCTGTGTGTCCAGAGGGGCCCCGAACCAAAGTCCGATGTCCTCAGAAGTAAAGCAGCCAGCAGGCATGAGCCCAGAAATTAGGCTGAGGAAGCAGACAGAAATGGAGAAAATGAAGGAGGAAAAAGGAAAAACTTGCTAAAAAAAGTAGGATGGAGTAAAATGCAGTCTGTAGTTTTAGGTCCAACATCAAACAAGTGTTTTTTTGGAGAGGCTGATAGGTGCAGACCTACTTCTGTTAGCACTTACTGTTAAACTGCTGAGACTGTATTTCCTCCACTTAGACAATTATGCTGAAAAGGTACTGCACAGTCTTAAAACATCTATTACATGGGCACACAGTCTGTGGCACTTTATTTTAAGGTCCAGTGGACACTTAATATTTACTAGTGATAGGTATTACATAACTCTGAAGGCATATTTGATTCCAAGAGTCTCTTTTTCCCTTTTATTCTAATTCTCTTTATGCTGCGTTTCTGAGTGAAATTGGTTATGTCTGCGATTACAAACAACATTTTCTGGGTGGTTATGCGAATATAGGCAAAGAAGATTTCATCTTTTTATCAGTGATACTATTGCCACTCAGTAGAATGGAAAAAAAAACAAAACATAAAAAATAACTAACAACAGGTACTGAATTATGGCTAAAAAGTTCCCTTTTTTAAGAGCTTTTGAAAGGAACTGGAATCAATCAAAGTCACCATGACTCCATGACCAAGACTATGACCATTTGGCTGTTAAATGGTGACTTATAGACTTCCAAATGTCTCATAAAAATAAGTTTCCTTTAACCAAATGGCAGCCCAGAGCCCAGGTACAAGAGTTAAAAAAATACACCTCTTCAAGTGATCACTTGAGGCTAACTTTAAAAGCCAAGGAGACTCTATTGAAAAGTACTTTACTATTTGTAGACACTGAGCAAGAAGTGAATTTTTCGTGACTCTATCATTTTGAGGATGTTAAGGTTAAAAGTCTTGAACAAGCTCGGCACATTGTTGCAGCAATCCAAGATGACCCGCCTCAACTCTGCGTTTTTCTCTCCTTGCAAGGTGAACAGGTTAGGTTTAGCAAGCATTTCAAATATGACACCTGTTATTAGGCTTCAAAACTCTGCCTCAGATATGTGACTAAGGTCACTGAGACAAACTACATTTATGTTTTACACAATCAGAGATGGTTTTGAACTGCCCTCTTGTTCATCTAGAATCAAAAGCTGTTGAAACTGGTGAAGTTTGAGCTCTGCAGACTTTTATAAATACTCAAGAAACACAGTTTGTTTTTTGCACATCCACATTAGCTTCCTCAACAAACACAAAACCTGTTAGATAATTCTCATCATGATTAAATGGTGTGTTATTAAAGTAGATGATAATATGGAGGGTCAACGTATCGAATGAAACCGCTTTAAGCCACGCTCGTGCCTTTGTGGTGCAGCACTTCAGCAAAATGGCGCCGTTAGCTTAACACAACACTATGGCATTGCAAGCATGCTTACAGCTCAGAGGTGAGATGTTTCTCATTGTCACTTTGACGTGTCGGCATGCCAACCTTTCCTTAAGAGCACAACTGAAGCTAAAGAGAACTGAGGTGCTACAGTTTACCCTAAGTGATGATATACTCTTGAACTGGAGCATTTAATCCCGCAGCTGTAGAGACACTGAGCTGATCGTTTCAGATAAATACTTGATAATGGCGCTTAAATTGAAGTTAGACATCAAAAAAGTCAAATAACTGTAGGTACAAGTTTGTAAATTGCTTTCCGATACATCCATTAGCTTTTAAGTTGTTTCCTTTTGATTTGCTGGTCTTGTGAAATAAAAGGGATAAGTAATAAACAAAGAATGAAACCTCTGGAGACCGTGGATCTGTTTTAGATTTAATGGTATTCAATAGTTGTTAAAAGGTAACTGAGATGGATGACTGCAGCTCTGTTCGTGTGAGACCCGCTGTTGTCTTTCTGTTTCACCTTATTTTTTTAGTCAACACAGAAATTGGCTAAACCATTTCCTAAATGACATCAGTAGACACCTTTATTAGCAGTGTTTATGAAGCGTCCTGCAATCTGTAAGGTATTTCATCCACAAATCCAACCAGAACAGGACACACAGGTACACGCTGCCATCTCACAAAGCGCTCTTACAATGATATCTAATGCTAAGTGGATGACTAACCTGTGTGTTGAAGGGCAACGTGTTGGAGAGCCATCTTGAACAACTTGCTGTCACACACCTATCTGCATCTGACACATTCTCTGTTTACAGAGCCCCCGGTCATGTCAAAAGAGACGTGTCAAAGCAGTTGTTGAGAGAAAATCAAGAGTGGGTGAAGGAGGGAGGAGAGGCTGGCAGAGCCGAATCAAACAATGATGAAAGGGAAGGAAGTGGGATAAACAAGGGAGCCATATGAAAGACGGAAAGTGAAAGAAAGGTAGGAGGGAGGGGGTGAAGCAAGGCAAGAAAACTAGCAAACCAACTTGACTGTGAGCGTTATTAGCAGCATGATAAGACTGTCAATTTAGAGCATCTGCACTTGCCATTTTAAAAGTGCAATATAATGGGTTTCACGATTCACTTTTGTGAGGATATGAGGATTTACTATTCATAAGGCAATTAAATCTTTGGGTTTCAATATCCAAACTGTTGTCTTTGCACTGTTTTCAATTCGATAAATGGTTTGAATTTGATAATACATAGCCGTCCAGCTTCTGGAAACTAATATTTAATATTATGTTTACTTGGAGTTGGAATATTACTAAACATATATCTGAATTGATTATTGAATTTGATTATACATAGTCGTCCAGCTTTGGGGGAACCAATATTTCATATTATGTTTACTTGGAATTTGAACTAAACACATATCTGAGTGGATTATTGATTGTGGAGTACCCCAGGGTTTGGTTTGTGGGCCCCTGTCATTCAACCTATATATTCTCCCTTCGGGTTTTAATTACAAGGCAATAATGTTACTTTACAGCTATGCAGACAACACTCTGCTTTATTTATTCATTTTGTCTATTTAATGTTGTTTGAATAGAATTAGTTTCTTTTGAGTTGGATATAGTCAAGACAGAAATCACTGTATTAGGTAGCAAAAGAAATTAAATTTAGGCCACATCTCATCTTGATCAGAAGTATAACATTTAACAGAGGGAGAAACTTATTTAACGATTCATTTTCATTTTGGTGGATTACTGTAAAGGTCTCTTGTCTTGTCTGAGGCCTGAAAAAAAAGACCATTAAACTCCTTGAACTTTTCAAAGCACTGCAGCCCGAGAAAGATAATCAAATAAAATGAGTATATTTCACCTGCTTTTAAATTTCCACACTATCACCCAGTATCTTACAGAAAATCTGCAATTTTAGACCAAAAATCTGCCTGATCTTCTCTCAGAGCATGAACACAGCAAAACATGGGCAAGCTAGTGGTTACTTTCTCACACACAGATCATATCAAATTAATCTGCGAAAAGAAGTCTGACATGTTTGCCTGTTGACAAAGTGGCAAAATTTTGGTTTCCACTAGCATTTTTAACTATTTACACTGGGGCAAGACTGTTAGTTCAAGTGTTACGCTGGAGTTGTGAGTCAGAATTGTAACAGCAGCCTAACGTATAACAGCCATGAATCAAATGTCTAATTGAATAATAATAATAATGCATCAGATTTCATATAGTGCTTTATCAGAGACTCTCAAAGTGCTTTACATGGATATATCATTCATTCGCTCACAAAGTCACACCCTGGTGGTGGTAAACTACCTTAGTAGTCACAGCTGCCCTGGGCAGACTGACAGAAACGTGGCTGCCAGTTTGCGCCTACGGCCTCTCCGACCACCACCACACAACACACTCACAACCACACACCAGTGGAGGACATACAATGGGAGCAAGGTGGGTTAAGTGTCTTGCCCAAGGACACAACGGATAGACTCGAGATAGGGGGGAACCAAACCGCCAACCTTCCAGTTATTGGGCGACCGCTCTACCTCCTGAGCTATTGACTTAGTATTACGGTAACCACATTCTGAATCCCCAAAAAGAAGACCCAACTACACGGGGGCAGAGTCACGAAGTCGCATGTAGTTAATTTTGAGAGCTTTTTGGGTTGGATTGAGTGTTTTTTATGCGCTTCTAACTCAGTAAATCCATGTGACACAAACTCAACACTTCCATACAAAACAGCAGACATTTGAAGAGTTTTATAAACTCCCCTGGACAAAGCCAGACAAGGCTGGACAGTTCCCAAAAAAAGAGGACATGTCCGGGTAAAAGAGGACGCATGGTCACCCTACTTAGTATGGCCCACAAGGACCACAAGAATCCCCACGATTCACTATCCATCACCTCTACTTAGTGCATCGTTTACTTACAAGACCGATGAGAACATGACCATTTGAAAACTTCGAAAGCCTAAATCAGATGCACTTACCTTGTACCTCAAATCATAGAGCAGCAAGAGCTCTGACATCATATTGACACACCAATTAGAAGAGTCGTGTAACACCGGCGGTAATATCACCAGACGTAATTGCAGAGCTAAAATAGAATGATAGCCGGATCGATACAGAAAACCTTAGAGGGAAAGAGTGTTTGACAAAAAGAGTGAGAATCCGTGTGTGTGAGAGATAGCAAGGCCGCGCTTCATTGTGTAGAGGTCGATCTATGGGAAGAAAAAAAAAAGGTGGAGGAGAGTGGTGGGAGGAGGGCTCCCAAAGGATACCACCATTTCATAGCACAGTAGCTGTTGGTACCTTCTGGGCTGGAACTAATTGGTGCGAGATTAACTTTCCAGTGGGATATAATGACCCCGAGCACTCTCGCACATCTTTGGATCAGTGACACCGGAAGAGGCCGGTTTCCTTACCACGCGCTCAAAGTGATTATTTGGTCCTGGACTGTCTGGCTACCATGCTCTTCAGCCTGATGAGACAGAAATAGCAAAACACTCCCAGGCCATGATATCTTTATGGGAACGTGGAAAGTCTGAGAAGTACTGAGTGTGTGTTTCACTTGCTGTAGGGCAGAGCCATCCACAACCACAAAAGAAAGGAGACGCTCTGTTTGGAAGTAGCTGCTCGCTCAAACATTTTAGAATAATGAGAGCCATGAATTATATCAGCGGCTTGTTCTTTGTGTCATCCAGAATAGCTGTGGGAGAATGCTCTAAATAAATGGTTATGTTCTGTAGTTTGTGGAAAGTAGGCAAATGGCGTCTCCCTGAAGAGCTAAAGTGAGGACAAATTGGTGTTCCTTTAAAGCTACGTGTACACTTTCTGAATGTGCCTATGCTGCAGAGTTTTCGGCCACGCTAGTCTGAAAACAGCTGCTTGAATCTCCAGCGCACGCTTTGGACACTTGATATGGTCAACCAGAGGGCAGCATGGGTCAATTTTGGTTGTACTATTGGTTGTTATCGGACAGGCTTGTTGTTGGCGTGTTGATTTTCGCAACTATTGAGCTTCGCTGCTTTTGATCCAGCCTCTGTTTGATTATTGAATGACAGGAGAACTACGTCAGTGAGCTGCGTTGCTGTTTATTCTTTGCAAAGTTGGTGTTGATTCAACTCTCTTTCACACTAAAGCTTTCTGTGATTCTGCTTCTTCCTATTTGAGGGCTACCCGAAAAGAAAAGTTACCATTAAGGGAGTAAATGCCATCTCTTTTTCAGTAACTCTGGAAGCAAAACTGCTCACAAACAATTCATTCAAACCATAAAGAAATATGCTAATAATATTGCTATTGTTTGAAAGAGCCCTGCATTAAAAACGGGATATACCTTCCTCTCCCTGCCCTCTGTGGCTCATCCTTTTTTCCTGTTTTCAACAAGAACATTAAAGAAACCCCTCACAAAAACAGGCATAATTGCTGTCCCTCTTCTGCCACTCTCTTCCTTTTCATACTATCACTGATCCTCTCCTGCATATTCCCAAGAGACAACCAATTGTCAGTTTTACCCAAGATGCTTCTCCACATAATAGGCCTTTTGACGGGATGCAGAGTGGGGGTATAGGGGAAAAAAAAAAGAAGTCATTCATCCGGGGGAAAAGAGCCGTCTTTTGCTAACAGTTGGAATTTAAGTCAGATGTCCCAGCTATCAGAGCAGACTTGACAAGGAGCAGCTAGCACAACTCATTTCACCTGTCAGCAGCAGGTGTATTGACACAAGAGGAGACGGCTTTTTCACGGGTGAGTGGCACACACTGGTGGGAACCATTTCGCAAGGTAACCAGACTATTCGTGGGTCATATCCTCGTTCAGCATGTGTAGCGTGTACTAACGCTCCACCAGCTTTCCACTATCAGTCAAACACTGGAGTTTCACTTTAAGTTTGACACCCTGTCTTTATTGATTTCTGCGGTTCTATTATTTGGGTAATTTATGTGATTAGATACCACACATGAAGCTGTTGATTGTGCAAAGCCAAGTGGCTCGCCTTAAAATTCAAAAGAGCACAGCAGGATTGATATTTAGTTCAATTTAATCCTTTCATGCCCATGCAGAGAAGCCACATGTAAAAATACCCCTTTGTGTTATACTGGATTAAGTGTGCTACCTGAGAAAATGGTGTAATTTTAAGAAACGAGGAAACTAAAAAGGGGTAATTTCCACATATTTTAAAACAGACCTTTTTAACTGCATGACTGATCCAAATACAGGATGGTAATATTTTCCTTGAAATACTGTTTTTTCCAGGCTCAAGACTGTTCAAAGCAAAATCTGGTCACTACAGTAGATGGCAGATGCTGGTCGACACTCACAACCACAGGGAACCAAGGGATGATAGTTGGAGAGACACAGTGATTGTGGCCCAAAAGAAGACCAAGTTAAAGGGATATTCTGGCGTAAAATTAATTCAGAGTCAAACACACTGTGACACCGAGTTAGACACCCCCTCGAGAGATGAATGGTGCCAACCGTGATCAATGATCATTAATGTTGTTCCTTGAGCTGTGTCACCCCGCTGTAGTCTGTAATGGACTGGCCCGAGATCTCGCAACAAACAAGCGGCTGTTGGAAGAGAGTAGGTGAGTTGTGTTTAGTCTTTTTGCTAAAGAAATTAGGCAAACCAAAAACATGTTTGGTGGCTAGTGCTGTGGCTGGGACCCTATATGTACTGTTGATGAAGTTAGGTGCTGTTTTGAGCATTATTTGTGGCTATAGAGTGGTGTTTTAGTTGAGGTTTGTGTATCGCTCCTCAGACTGCTGTGTATTGCTATCTGCGGTCCTTACTTAAGTTGGTATAACTAGAGAAGCAAGCGGTCTGCAACATTCATCTCTTGAGGGGTTGTCTAACTCTGTGTTACGGTGTGTTTGACCCTTGATTAATTTTATGCCAGAATATCCCTTTAAGCAAGAGTAAAGGAGGTATTACACGACTGCTTTTAAGGAAAAGGTTATCAGCGGCTTTCACAGGTTGATGGCATGCTTGTTACCAACCAATAAATTACGTGTCATTTTTTATTGAATTTATGGTAAATACAGCTAGAAAAATGTGCTTTAATATCACATAAAGCTGCATTGTAACTGCATATGTATCTGACACTCTGATATCATACATATTGAAAACAAAGTTGATTTTTATTTTCAGTGGAGAAGAAGATTTGGTATAGAATGTATTTTTAACAAATTCCTATTTTCACCCCTCTGTGATGAAAAAAAAAAACTTTTTTTTTCATAAATAAAAATTTCTCTACAGCAATTTCTTTAAGGCTCCTGGGAGAAACTTTCAAGTTGTCTGAACTTTGGCACCCCTGTGGACAGAGTAAAATCCTGGCTTGTTTGGCCAGAGTAAAAAATGACTTTTGACCGTCAAATATACCATTGATTGTGAATACTTAATGTAGAAATCATAAAAATAAGGCTGTTTCTTCAGCTGCTTGGCTGACACATCCCTCCTCACACTGGTTCAAGGCATTAAAAATCAGGATATAAAGGTGATCCTCTGCTTATAGCTCCAGTAAGGAGCATTTCTGTTTGTGTCAGTTTTGGCGCCCCCTGTGGAATCACTAACTCCTCTATATTTGTGGATTTTCTCTTGTGCATGTATGTACTTCTTCTGACAATCAAACCACTCACTCTCTCACTCACTCGCTCGCTCACTGTGGATATTTGTTATGAAAGACAGTACAAAGAGATTTTCCTCAACAGGCTGTCAATTGTCTGGTCTGACACCTTCCCACTCACAGTCGTTACAGCCATGAAATCACTGCACAGAAATTGTCACTCTTAATGCAAATTGTCTTGTTTTCTTTTGCAGATGATAAAGAAGCCCTGATGTTGGTTTCACATTGTTTCATATCCAGTTAAAAAGAAGATTTAAAAAATGTTTTATTTGTGTGGAGTTAAGGAGAATACTCTTCAGACTGGGTTTAATCATACCTCCCTTTTCTTTCAGTATGAACAGTTATTGACCTGTTTTAAAAAGCATGGATCCGTTTTATAAACCAGTTGAATAGACGCAGTAAAGTGTTTCTGGAGGTCATTATGAACTTTCAACAAAAATTTTGTTTTTGTTAGATTTAGTAGAATTTCATTTCAGCACCACCGACTTACTAACAGTGAATGCAATGATTTATGAGAGGCATGGGGCTTTAGGCTCAGTGGGATGTTGCCACCAAAAGTTTTCCATCACAGAGTGGTAGATTCAGCAGTAAAATCTACTTCCATTATGCATTAATTTTGATATTTGTATGTAGGACATGGAATAACTATGTTTTTTCTATGCATTAATGAGTGTTATACACACCCCGGTCTGTTTCCCTGGGAGAAACTATTTATAGTTCGTTGTAACAGCCACTGGGCCTGAGCGCCTTGTTGCACCATTTGCACTGCAGCGGCAAAGGGGCATAAGTATTAGTAAATTCATTAAAGCCATATAAGTAGAGTCATAATTCAGGAGTTGGTGAATAAAATGCCAGACTGTAACTTACTAACATTCAGCTAAAATGGAGAAACGGCGAGGGCGCTGCACGGTAAGGAGGATTAATGTGAGAGACAACTGAAAACAGATGCTGTGATCATCAGCGTTTGACACCATCATCACTGCTCGCAGAAGCTGCAGATGTTGTCAACACATTTATTTCTGCCCAAACATCTCAAGTGCATCACAGGTAGTTGCCAAATTAAGTCCTGGTTCGCCTGAAATGCTCAGCTCGAAAGTAGAAACCACAAGTTTAAAAATCTGACAAACAGGCAAAGTGCAGAACCCACAAATACTGCAGACACTGCACCACCACCAAGTGATGAAAGAGGCGTTATCATAACCAACGATGTGTGACATTGACTCCATTTCACACAAGATTCAGCTGTAATGGGGTTCAGGACGATGCATTTGTGTTTACTTACATTCATAAATTATGAGTTAAAAAAAGGAACGTGGTGTTTTGGAGTTTATAAAACCGGCTAAAACTCTGGAAGAATAAAAGTCTCATTGCACTTTAATTGCTGCCTGGTGCTGCTGATATGTAACAAAAAAAGCAAGGCCAGATCTGCTAATATGGGAGTTAGGACAGATAACAACCATGTCTGTACAGGCAAACCCTGTCATTACTGATGTGGCAAATGAGTGTGTTCTGCTGCCGTCCATCCGACTTGAGAACAGTATATGAAGTTGGATTAAAGATGTAAGACATTTGCTGATGAAGGTGCATAAATCAGATGTGATATAATGTTGTTTTACATGATTGTTATTCTGAGCAACAATAATTTATTTTTAAAGATTCTTACAAGATACATATAAGTTCTCTGTATGATGAGAAAATCAGTCATGTGCTCTCATCCAGAAGGCATGTGTACAAGATCAAGGCTGTTAGCACAGCTGACAACTATTTGGGTTCTTCCCGCTATCCTTAATGTTGTTGTTAAGAGTAAAAACATGTTAAATGTTGATAATATGAGAAAAATGTTCACTTACTGGGGCAGGTTTGCAGTCAAATGTTCAGAACCTCCAGTAATTTGATTGAGTTTATCTAACAACATGATCAGATGATCTAAAATAAAGCTAGGCTATCACCTTTTGCAGAAGAGGTTGGCTGTAACATGCAATTAAGCTAACTTTAACATACTTAAACAATTCATGTAATGTCTGAATATATTTAAGAAAGTAAAGCCCTGACAATTGTCCAAAGAAGACAGTGTGACCTTTTACTTAACCGAGGGGCCAAGCTGACCAGCATTCCCTGCGGCTAATACACTTACTATTGGCAAATACCTCTTACAAACTGTCTGTGCCTTTAACATCAAGCATGCCCCAAATACAAGAAATGATGCCAAATCAAAAACACAATAAAAACTGTAAAACTAGCCACACATCACCATTACTCCAGACCAGCTGGGGCTCTTAGTAAACAGTTTATTGATAGGAGACTGTGAGAGGGACTGGAGAGTGGACTCATTGATAATCAGATTGCATCATGATATATGCCACCAGACAGGTCTGGGTGTTTCTGAGGGCTGGTTTTCACTGATTACTTGGGGTGGTACAAAATATCGCCACGGCGATAGATTGTTTTCCTGGCTTGTATGACACCAATATGAAGATGCCAGCGCCAAACAGAGGCAAATCAATTGAAAAAATATGACACTGTATGCCAAATTGACTCCCTATTTCAACTGCTTATCTCCTTGCATGGCATGAATAAACACGGATGAGGGCAAGTAGTTTGAAGAAGTGAACTGGCTGCAAAAGAACAAGATATCTGGATGATGGAAGGAGAAGACAGGAGTGAAACAATGGACATAGAGGACAGACGTTAAGAGATGCAAGCTAGCATGGTACATGTGACCTACAAAACTGATAAGATTGTGTCATGTTGCATAATTTGTTATTATATCCAGCTGTATCATATCTGGCTGTAGCATTTGGTAGTGTTGTATCCAATCATGTTTTCTCCCTTCTTATCATTTCGTTAATCAGTGCTCAGCCTCAACCTCGCCTGACCACGGTTTCATCATTGCATTTATTTTTGTGTGTTTTTGCGAATTTGAATCATTACTGCCAAAAATCACTTAATCCCTCTGGATCTTGTTCAGCACTCTTTTTAGTTTCTCCTTTCATGGCTAGGTAGAAATTACTTTAAGCAAATGAAAACTGAAAAGAAAGGCTTAAGTACCAAAGATGCATCTTTAAGTGCTCATCCTTGGGTGTTATGAAATTCAGTTTTGGAACGGGCATTCATCAGG